ACATCTCCACCCCCACACTACACCCCTACTGCACTCCCACCGCTCCACATCGCCCCACACACCCCTATATACCACATACCCAGCAACCGTCCCAAATGGCATTCCTCCGCACCTTTCCAAGCCACGCCGGCCCCACACCGTCACTACACGACCACAACCGACAACACCACCACAACGTCCCACACCACATCCCTCACCCGTTGCCGTCGATGCAGAGGCCTTGGGCCGATCCCTACTTGTGATGTGTGTCTCCGAGTCCTTTGATTGCATGGGTTTGTAGAGCAAAACGCTTATGGCATGTACACCTCTTTCAGTTGTTTTGCGTTTTCGAAAAAACCCTCCAAAAATCCAGTACTGCTTTCAGCCTCGACCTTGTAGGGGGCCAGCCGCTTTTAACATACCTCACGCACTCCTATACTAGAGCCCTTGGGTCTCTTTGGTGTCTCAGAAATGGTACTTTTGAGGTGCCCGAAAGTGTTAGACCCTTAGGGTGGGGTTCCTTCAGGACGAAATGAACCCTAAAAGGGTTTAAGGTTCATATACCATATAAGGAACTCACAGTATACGGGTATAGGGCCCCTACTTTTAAGGGTCATTTCGTCCTTGAGGTTTAGGATTTAGGGTTTACTTTAACCGCGAAGAACCACCTTTGTAGGATTTATATTTTGATCTCGTTATATAAGCTTCCAGGGTTTAGGATTTCAAAGGATACCTCGATCTGTCCTTGAATCTATCTGTCTGTCTATCAATCGATCTGTCCATTCGTCCATCCGGCTAGCTATCTATCTGTGTTTATATCTATTTACCTTTCTCTTTCTTTCTCTCTGTCTAACTACCTATCTGTCCATCTGTCTATCTGTCCGTCCATCTATCCATCCATCCTTCTTTCCATCCATTTTTTGACCTAGCTAACTATCTAGTGTTTGGGGTTTAGGGTTTAGGGTCTCTTTCTGTGTAGCTTTCGACCTATCAGCGAGAGCCCCGATTTGAGAGCCCCTTGAAACCCAAGCCCAGGAGTTTGGCGTTTCGTGGTTTGGGGTTCAACAGTTCCCTAAACCCTAAACCCTAAACCTAAACCTTGCAAGCCTTAACTCCTGACCCTTATTTGGGTTTAGGTTTCAGGGTTTCGGGAACCCCAAACCCCAAACCCCAAACCCCTAAAATGTAAACCCTAAATCCGACACCCCGAAGCCGTAAACCCTAAGCCCTAAACCCCTAAACCGTAGACCCGAAACCCTAAACAGTAAACCCAAACCCTAAACCCCTAAACCGTAAATCCGAAATCCGAAACCCTAAACCGTCTTAGAAAGGATCGGCAGCTCTACTTCTTCTCCAAGGAAGCAAGCGCTTGGGCACATCCCTCCTTGCGAGTGCTCTGCAGTCACTCCTGGTCTGGAGAAGGCTGATTGTTTAGGGTTTAGGGGTATAGGGTTCAGGATTTTTGGTTCATAGGGTATACCCATAGGCTCCATAGTAGTTCCTTCTATGGTTTATATTTAGGTTCCTTTAAAGTAGTCCCAAAAAGGAACTACTATGGAGCCTATGGGTAGGGTATAGGGTTCAGCGGGGCCATGTGTTTTTTTGTTAGCAAAGGTGCTGGTCCCCGGGTCCTCTGCTCCCGGGGTCCTCTGGTCCTGCGGTCCCCGGTCCCCTGGTCCCGTGCTTCCCCGGACCCATGGTCTCCGGGTCCCTGTTTAGGGTTTAGGGTTTAGGGTTTAGGGTCTGGTTATGATGAACCGGAATTGCAAATTGGATTCAGTTGTTCGTGTTGCTTGTTGTGTTCTAAGTTTCAATTGGTTTTCGCCAAGTGAGGGTCGCTGAGGGAGTGTGCTTAAGATGTATGATGAACCAGAATCCCCAAATGAGGGGCGTGTTTAAGACATATGATGAACCGGAATGGCCAAACGAGAGGGCAGTTTAAGATATACATATAATATATATATATATGTGTGTTGACGATGATGATGATGATGATGATGATGATGATGAATCGCCAAATCATGGGGCGTGAATCGCCAAATGAGGGGGCATGCTCAGGATGCATGTTGAACCGGAATTGGCAAATGAGGGGGCGTGTTTAAGATATAAGTTGAGCCTGAATCGCCAAGTGAGAGGGCCGTTTAAGGCATATGATGATACGGAATCGCCATTTGACGGGGCGTGTTTCAGAGATATGATGATCCGGAATCGGCAAATGAGGGGGTGTGTTTGAGATATATGTTAAGCCGGAATCGCCACATGAGGGGGTGTGTTTAGGACATATGATGATACGGAATCGCCATTTGAAGGGGCGTGTTTCAGAGATATGATGATCCGGAATCGCCAAATCAGGGGGCGTGATGAAGACTAAGATCAGTGAGGCTCTCCTGTGTTTGCAAAAGCAGCCCGCAGATGAAATTGTCGGAAAATCGAGGTTATCATTTGCACATATAAATGACAGGGCAGATTAGGATATATGATGCACCGGAATCGCCACATAATGGGGCGTGAATCGCCAAATGAGGGGGCGTGATTAGGATGTATGTTGAACCGGAATCGCCAAATGAGAGGGCGTGTTTAAGATATATGTTGAGCCGGAATCGTCAAGTGATGATACGGAATCGCCAGTTGGGCGGGCATGTTTCAGACATGTGTTGATCCGGAATCGCCAAATGAAGGGGCGTGCTTAGGATGCATGTTGAACCGGAATCGCCAAATGAGGGGGCGTGTTAAGGATACATGATGAAACCGGAATTAGCAAATATCGTGCACCTGCAGATTCATGCACTGGCTTCTACACCAAATGAGATCCCATGCTACACAAGACGTGGGACCTCCCCACATTGTGGGGGACGCAATGTGAGGGCTGAAGACGCAAAAGGGCGCACACTGTATCCATTCGACTGTCTGCGTGTCTGTGCGTCTGTGTGTCTATCGGCCTGTCTGCCTGCCTGCCTGTCTGTCTGTCCGTCCGTCCGTCCGTCTGTCCGTCTGTCCGTCTGTCCGTCTGTTCGTCTGTCCGTCTGTCGGTCTGTCCGTCTGTCCATCTGTCCGTCTGTCGGTCTGTCGGTCGGTCTCTCTGTCTGCCTGCCTGCCTGCCTGCCCGGCTGTCAGTGAGTCAGTCAGTCAGTCAGTCAGTCAGTCAGTCAGTCAGTCAGTCTGTCTGTCTGTCTGTCTGTCTGTCTGTCTGTCTGTCTGTCTGTCTGTCTGTCTGTCTCTCTTACGACAGCTGCAGCAGCAACCACCTCAACCACACCAACCACAACAACCACAACAACAGCAGCAAAAACAACAACATTAATGATAAGATCAATATTGAACAACAACAACAACATCAACAACAACAGCAACAGCAACAACAACAGCAACAACAACAGCAACAGCAACAGCAACAGCAACAGCAGCAGCAACAGCAACAGCAACAGCAACAGCACCGGCACCGGCACCGGCACCGGCACCGGCACCGGCACCGGCACCGGCACCAGCACCAGCGCCAGCACCAGCACCACCACCACCACAGCACCACGGCACCACCAGCACTACCACTATAGCACCACCACCA